AATAATATATACAAGCTCTAGAAGAAAATAGATGTCAGCCAAGAATACTACACCCACAAAATTAAGCTCCAGAATTGGTGATAAAATAAAAAAACTTCCATGATAACAAAAGAGTTCACAACTAAATTGTGAATTGAGTAAAAATACTCAATAAAATACTTCATGAAGAAGAAATGAAAAATAAAAGTGAAAACAAGCAAAGGGAAGAACTACACTAAAAGAACAGTGAATCAAGCCAGGCAAGCCTGTGATCCCAGCAGCTTGGGGAGCTGAGACAGGAGGATTGCAAGTTGAAAGTCAGCCTCAGCAATGGTGAGACTCTGTCTCTAAGTGAAATACAAAATAAACCTGGGGGTGTGGCTCGGTGGTTGAGCACCCAGGAGTTCAATCCCTGGTACAAAAAAAAAAAAGAGAGAGAGAGAGACAGAGAACAGTGAATCAATGGAGAAACTCATTCAAATTAAAAACCAGAAATAAATCAAAATGACAAGGAATAAAAATCATATCTCAATAATAACATTTGGCTGGGGTTGTGGCTTAGTGGTCGAGTGCTTGTTTAGCATGTGCAAGGCACCACATATAAATAAGTAGGTAAAATAAAGGTCTATGAACAACTAATAAAAATATTTTTAAAAGACGAACACTGGCAGTTTGGATTAAAAAACAAGAACCAACAATATGCTATCTCCATGAGACTTACCTTATAGGCAAAGACACCCATAGCCTGACAGTAAAAGGATGGGAAAAAACGTATCACCTACATGGATATCATAAACAAGCAGAGGTTTCTATCCTCCTATCAGATAAAGTGGACTTCAAGCCAAAGTTAATCAGAAGGGACAAAGAAGGACATTTCATATGGCTTAAGGGAATTATACATCAACAAGACATAACAATCATAAATATCTATGCCCCAAACAATGGAGCCTCTATGTATGTCAAACAAACCCTTCTCAATTTCAAAAAGCAAACAAACCACAACATAATAATACTGGGTGACTTTGACATTCCTCTCTCACCACCGGATAGATCCTCCAAACAAAAACTAAAGAAGCTATAGAACAAAAGGATACAATTAGAACTAACAAGACACTTCACAGAAGAAGAAACATGAATGGTCAACAAATAAATTAAAAAATGTTCAACATCACTAGTAATTAGAGAAATGCAAATTAAAACTATACTGAGTTTTCCTCTCAATCCAATCAGATGGCAATTGTAAAGAATACAAGTATGGCCGGGCCCGGTGGCATATGCCTATAATCCCAGCAGCTAAGGAGGCTGAGGCAGGAAGATTGAGAGTTCAAAGGCAGCCTCAGCAAAAGCAAGGCACTAATCAACTCAGTAAGACCCTGTTTCTTAATAAAATACAAAATAGAGCTGGGGATGTGGCTCAGTGGTCAAGTGCCCCTGAGTTTAATCCCTGGAACCACCCCCCATACTCCCCTCCCTAAGAAAGAATAAAAGTAACAATAAATGTTGGTGAGAATGTGAGGGAAAGGTACACTCATACACTGCTGGTATGACTGCAAATTGGTGTATCCACTCTGGAAAGCAGTATGAAGATTCCTCAGAAAACTTGGAATGCAACTACCCTTTGGCATATATCCAAAGGACTTAAAATCAGCATACCGCAGTGACATGGCCACATAAATGTTCAGAGCAGCTCAATTCACAATAGCTAAGCTATGGAACCAACCTAGGTGCCCTTCATTAGATGAATAGATAAAGAAAATGTGCTACATATACCCGATGGAGTATTACTCAACCATAAAAAAGAATGAAATTATGGCATTTGCTGGTAAACGGATGAAACTGGAGGCTATCAATGTTAAGTGAGATAAGCCAATCCCCCAAAACAAAAGGCCAAATGTTCTCTGATATGCAGATGCTGACACACAGATGGGGAGTGGGGAGGGAGGAGTAAAGGTTTAGCAGATTGAATAGTGGGAAATGGGGGTAGGGGAATGGGAAAGACAGTAGAATGGATTGGACATAGCTTTCCTATGTTCATATGTGGATACATGACTAGAGTAACTCCACATCATGTACCACCACAAGAATGGGAAGTTATATCCCATGAGTGTATGATATGTCAAAATACATCCTGTTGTCATGTATAACTAAAAAGAGCAAATTTTTAAAAATAAGGAAAAGAAAAAAAAATACACAGGAGCCCAGGATGCCTCAAACTACTAAGATGTTCAGTGCACAATTTTGGAGAATGAGACGCATAGATGGTGACAGGGATGGAAAGACAAGGCCACCTAGACAGTCCAGGAAAGACGAACTTGGGGCACTACTTGGTAGGGAAAGCCCAGACTGTCCCAGGCTCTTCTGTAGCTGGGGTCAGAGTTGCTCTCAAACTCAGCGTCTTCAAGATGTCAGGATGGGGAAGAAAACCAAGACTACGGTGAAGAGTTCTCAGAAGCCGCGTTGCCTGGGGAAGCGAGGCAGGCGGGAGACAGGTTGGACCTGAAGTCAAGGACTTGCCTCTGGGAAGAGGAAAGTGGAGACAGCACCGGGGCCGTGTTCTTGTCCGCTGTCCTCGTTCGACTAGACGGTCGGCAGCTGTTGTTTCTTGGACTGGTCTGGTGCATGTTCATAAAGTGGAATCATAACCTACGCCATGAAAATAGCTAAAGCGCTTGTTGCTCTGCTGAGAACACGGATTGACCTATGTCGGTGTGGGAGATTTGTGTCTCTGCATAGTACAAATATTTTGAGTAGAAAGTATTTATGCATTTAGTGGAGGATTGATTGCTTCAGATTTGCAGAACTAGAAAGATGTAGTAGTGTAATGATGTTGTTTCTTTTGGGAAAAAAGGAACTACTTTATTTTATATGAGGGAACTTCAGCTCCACACTCATGAATTGTACTTTTTTGAGAAGAAAGTATCTCCGCTTGAGCAGAAGGCAGCCAGCCCCACCCAGCTGGTTTGGGAGCAAACTTATTTATGAGTATGTAAGAACCCTACTTAAAATACGTTCTTAAACTACTTTCTAGTATTTTTATACAATGTATCATTATAATCTGTCTTCAATCATTTTATCCAAAATAAATCTCCAGAATTAAAAACAGGAGGTGGTGAGGAGTACAATCAGAAAACGATTCAATGGCAGATATAAATTTAAACATGTAAAAAAGGTAATGATTTAAACTAGTGGTGAGCAAACGTGGCCCTGGTCCAAACCTGCTTTTGTATTTGCAGTCTTATTGGAACACAGCCACATTCATTCCTTACTTGGTCAGCAGCTTTTTTCTCACTACCAGAGTAAAGCTGGGTAGTATGACAGACCTACAGGCCACACGGCTTCAAATCCTGTCCCTTTATAGGAAGACTTTGCTGATCTCTGGTTTAAATGCACCAATTCAAAGACCAAGATGGTCAGAGTATGGCTAAAACAGCATGACCTAACGATATGTTGTCAGCAAGAAAATGATTCAAATATAACAGTATATTAAGGTTAAAAGCAAAAGGGTCTGGGCTTGTAGCTCAGTAGTAGGGAATTTGCCTAGCATGAGCAGGGTTCTACGCTCAGTCTGTAGCATGCCCCCCTCCAAAAAAAAAAAAAAAAAAGTAAAGGGATGGAAAAAGATGTGGCAGAAAGCCATACATCAGGACTAACTGGAGTGGCTCTATGAGTATCAGACAGAGCAGGTTCCAAAGCAGAAGGAATTACCAGGGATAAAGAGGAATATTACTTAATGATCAAAGGGTCCATTCACCAAGCAGACTTAACAAACCTAAAGATGTTTACATCAAACTATAGATTTTGTAAGTATATCAAGAAAAAAAACTAAAAAGAAAAATAGATGAATTCAAAATTATTTGGGGGACCCCCCTCACAGTACCAAACAGAAGCAGTAGACAAAAGATTAGCCAGGATATGGAAGAACTGAGTAATACCACCAACCAATAGGATGATGCTGATGTTCAGCAAATACTCCCATCAGCAGCAGCAGAATACACATGCTTTTCACATATATATGGAGCATTTGCCAAGAGAGAACATATTCTTTGTTAGAAAACTAAGAAACTTGAAAGAATTAAAATCATGAAAAGTAAATTATCTGACCATGATGAAATTTTTTAAAAAAATCAATAAGAGAAAGATTACAGGAAAATCTCTCCAACACTCAGATGGTCAAGAGTACACTTCTAAATAAACCATGGGCCAAAGAGGAAGTCTTAAGGAAAATTAGAAAATATTTAAACTGAAGAAAAATGGAAATACAGCATGTCAAAATTTGTGGAATTTGTGCCAAGTGGTGGTTATAAAGATACTTAGAGCATTAATATCTAGTAGTTTTCATATTACAGATAGAAAAGAAGAAAGCTCTCAGATTAATCATCTAATCCTCAAGAAAGGAGAAAAACAAAACAAACACAAATCAAATGCAGGGAGGAAATAATAAAGATGGAAGAAGAAGTCAATGAAATAGAAAACAGAAAAAAAAAATGGAGAAAATCAATGAAATTAAAAGCAGGACCTTTGAAATGAGCAATAAAATTGACAAACCTGTGGTAAAAGGGACCAAAAAAAGGTCAAAATCTCCAGCTTCAGGAATGAAATGGGGATTATTCCTCCAGACATTAAAGTGAAGTTAGCTGTGATTGCACACAACAACTTAGATGATTCTCAAAGCCACTCTCCTGAATGACAGAAGCCAGTCTCCAAGGGTTACTACTGTACAATTCCATTTATATGACATTTTCAGAAAGACAAAACTCCCCTGCCAGACAACAGCTTAGGAGATGCCAGGATAAGAGGAAATTATATTTTGTATTCTGATTGTGGTGCTAGTTTTATCATTTATAGATGGTTTTAAAATTTTAGTACTATATATGCAAAAAAGTCAACAACAGATTCAATTGCTTATGTCAATTTTTAAAACAAATTTTAAGAAAAGAAAAGATCACAATTCCCATGGTCATTTTCTTATGGTCCTTTAGGATTTGAAATATTCATTTGAAATTCCCAGGAAGGCAACTTACTGGTGTTTGATGGGGTGGGTGTCCCACTTCACAGGAACAGATGGCATCTGAGGCCGGCTGCATTCCCTAGTGTGCTCTTGCCCTCCTGTGTTAGGCACACAGGCGACTCTCATTGCAGTGGCCACCAAGCTCAGCTTCACGCTGAAAAAGGTGACAGACATATAAAGATTTGAAATGGGCAGTGAATCCAGGATGAAATTGATCTCCAGGCTCCCTTCACTCTCAATTAGATGGAAATGATCCAAGCTTGGAAGGGGAGTATATAAGTCTGTTTTCTGTTACTATAATGAAAGACCTGAGGTTGGATACTTTGTAATAATCAAATGTGGCTTATTTAGCTCACAGTTTTAAAGGTGGAAACTCCAAAGAGGACAGCACTGGCTCTGGTGAGGGATTACAGGTGTGTGCCACTGTGGTCCCTCTTATTAGAGAATTGCTTCCAGCATCTCCTGAGGGCACCTGAATCCACAGAAGCTCACATCCTTTATGTAACATGGTGTGGTGTTCACCTAGAACCCATGCACATCCTCCTGTGCACTCTAAATGATCTCTAAACTACATATGGCACCTCATAAAAGGCAAATGCTGTGGAAAAACTTGTCATACGTGTTGTTTAGGGAATCATGACAAAGAACTGAACATGTCCAGTAAAGGGGAGATTTATTCCTGTTTTGATTTTTGTGTTTTTCTTAATATTTTCAATCATAGTTGGTTGGATGTGTGGGTGGCGCCCACAGGTATGGAAGACCGACTGTGTGTTCCAGCCTCTAGACGAGGCCCCAGGGTGATCACACGTCCTGTACAGGAGACCGTCTTCCAGATGGAAACCTGGACCTCAGAGAGGCTAAGACCCGAGGAGCAGCAGCACAGGATTGGAAAGCGTCTGGCCCTCCCCTGTGCTCTTTCCCCCTGGCCCCACTGCCTCTGAATAGCACCATAATGGACCACAGGCAGCCTGTCACTCAGTTATTAGGGCACCCTTGCCCCTGGCAGGGGAGGTAGAGGACCTTGCAGAGATGGTGTCCTGCTCAGGGAATGCTGGTGTCAGAGTGGCCAACGTGGCCCTGACTTTGGACGGTGGTGACCGTCAGTCAGCACTGGGCGATGGTTTCAGATGGTGAACTTCAGTGAGTCTGTGTTGTTGTCGACATGGAAACACTTGCTGCTTCTTTACAGACAACAGTTCAACGTGGGGAGCTCCCAGGAAAAGGGGGATTCCTCCACCTCCCCTCCTTTCTCTGGGGGTTTGACCTGGCATTTCCAGTGAGATGTGACATGTTGGTCATCTTGTCACCTTCTGTTTCTAATGGTTCAATTATGGTGCTACAAGAGGGGACTCGACTCACAGGGACCGATTCGTGGGTGCTCTGCCTGACAATGAAGAAGAAATGGATGCAGTTTAAGCAGCTCCTGGGCCGGGCGAGGGCTGAGACTGCCCACTTTTGCTTTCCCTTCTAGGAAAATGGACATTAGTTTTTAGGAAGATTGCGCTATAAGCAAGGGAAGAAGGAGGTGAAATGACCCAAATTAGAATCTGCAGCTGCTAGAATCCTCCTTTCTGCAGCTGGTCATCTATAACTGGGGTCCTAAAGAAACAGACATCTGTGCTTCTGTCCAGATGCAGGAGCTGGTACTGACGAGGAGAGAGGAGGTTCCTTGCCAGGAAAAAATCCAGGGCAAAGTAGACTAGGCTGAGAGAGGAGAAAGTCTGGAACCGAGACAAGCCAAGGGAGGCAAAATTCCCTAACACAATGAGACAGAAGAGGTTGGTACTACATAATCAGAAGCTACAAACGCTTACAGCAAGGTTGCAGTACAGAAAATAACCTGCCAAAGTGTAAGATTACTTACAAGCATTGAGCTCAGAAGAAGGCATAGCGTCTATTCATTAGTACTGTCAGCTGACGTTTATATACGCTCACTCTGTGGCACACACTTGGGTAGGTGCTCACCACACATTGTCCTGTTTAATTCGCTCATCAACCCTGTGGTGGGCGCTGTCACTGGCTTAGAGAGATGAATGACTTTGCCTAAAGACGCACAGGAAATGAAAGCAGGGCCAGGATCAGAAGCAGATGGCTAGAACGTTAAGAGCCTGTGTTTGTGGTGACATTCCACACGCCTCCTACTAGTCTGGGTTTGAAATGATACTTAGTACAAAGAAGCGAGGAACGCAACGTGGAGAAAGCCCAAAATTGGGAATCAGAAGTCTGCCCCAGCTCTGATGATCAGGAAAGAATATCTCTCTGTTTCAATAAAACGAGTCTATCAACAGGGTGACTTGAGATCACACACATGACAAGGGTTTGAAATACTGTCACTCCATGCTGATGACCACTGATTCACAAAGTCACAAGTGGATGCCTGCTCTGGGCTGGAAACTGGGCACACAGGGCAGAGCAAGTACCCTCCTGGAGCTTGGGGTCTTTTAATACAAAGGCCATCTGGGGGAGTGTGTCCAGGTCCAGGAGGTCAGCGAGGTGGTCACTTCCCCCAAGGAAGTGAGAAAATAGTCCAGGAGCAATAATGCCAGCAGGTTGGGGTGGGGGTGTGCATGTGAAAAGTACTGAGAGAGAGAGAGACGTGGAGGCACATGGAGTTGGAAGGAGGCCAGGGGACACTAGAGCTCTAGGCAGGGGAGGGGCTGACCTGCCAGGCCTTGCAGACCCTCAGCAGTGATGGGACCCCAGTCCTTATCAGAAAGTGAAAGGGAGCCCCTGAGTGGAGGGTGATCTGAACAGATGGGCAAGGAGACCCACCAGAGGCCAATGCAGTAGTCTACATGGCAATGGGTGATGGGCCTGGACCTGTGTGGTGGATGTGGAGATGGAGAGAAGATGATGGGTGGTTGGAGAGAGATGTGGGAGGTAAGTCTAGTAGGGGGTGACATGCTGGAGTAGGGGTTAAGAAAAGAGGGGTGCCAAGGATGAGGTTGAGGTCTCTGGCTGGGGACCGTGTTGATGAACAGGGCGCCATTTATTGAATCAGAAATGGTGGGGAGACTGGAATTCATGGAGATTCATGGATTAGGCTCTTAGGCTGCAGAGTTGGCGATGTTGAGTAGATAGTGCTGGGCCTCTTAAAACCACGAGCTGGCACCTTTGGTCTGACACCAACTTTAAGGAGTGACTGTGTAAGCGCCTTCTGTGAGCCTTCATAGGCTGGGTCCAAAGACAGTCTTCCTGCATGTAAGACACAGGGCTTTCCCTTAGAGTGCGCCTCGTTGGTGAGATTGGCTGAACACTCAACACAGCGGAAAAACGTAAGTCAGCAGACAATTAATTACCAAAGATTGAGGTACGGTGGAAATGAGCCGAGGGGCTTCCTGCACAAAGTGAGGCTCAAATAAGAGAAACCTGGCAGACTCCCGACAGATGGGAGGCCAGATAGCAACACAGCATCGTGAGCAGGAGAACAAAGTCATAATAAATACTTTTCTGTGTTGGGGAGCAGTGAAATTGTAGATGCTTGTAGAATACAATGTATATATTATATAATATTGAATCTCAAGAGTCCAGCCACTCAATGCAGACATGTTTTTGAAGATGAGATATATATTTGAGGAGCTTAGGGATTTTATTTCATTCACAGACAGACCACTCATGGCAAATGACAAATATATGTTCAAGTGACATAAAAGTTGAATATGTATGTAAATGTCTGACACTCCAGGAAGAGCTTTAGAAATTATAGTGTCTGACAGCCATTTTATTAAAGACTGATATTTTAAAATAGGTGTGAGGGTCTAAGGGAAAAGGAAACACATTGTCTGTTTTGACTGTCTCCGTCTGGCTTTGGCTACGATAACAGAATACCAGAAACTAAGTGATTTATAAGGAACAGAAGTTTATTTCTCACATTCCTGGAGGGAAATGAAAAATCAAAGCACAAGTCTCTGACAAAGGCCTTCACGCTATTTTATTTCATAACAGAATACAGAAGGGCCAAAGAGGAGGCCTTACTCCCCAAAACACTTCTTGTAACAATGTTAATCCATTCAGAGATCAGAGCTCTTGTGGCCAAAATATCTCCCATTAGGCCCCACCTCCCAACACCCAGTGCACTGTGGATTAAATTTCCAGCATATGAATTGGCAGACTCCTTTGTAATCTCTTGTATCAGGATAGCCAAAGTGAACCTGAAAGCTCCTCTGGAGGTTCTATAGCAAGAGAAATGGACAACTTTGCCACCCAAGGCAGAGGTGTGGTGCTAAGAGAAGAATGATTAAGACTCTTCTTGATCTGGGTTCACATACAAAAATGTCCTTTGCTTTAAATAAACAGTGTCCCTGTGCTAGTTAGCTTTCCATTACTATAAGGAAATACACAAGGTAACCAACTGGAAAAGAGGAAATGTTCACTTGGTCTCATGGTTTCAGAGGCTCCAGCCCAAGGTGAGTTGGCCCCCTTGCTTTTGTGCCTGTGGCGAGACAGAACGTGGTGGCAGGGAGCACACAATGGAGCAAGGCTACTCACCCCATGGCAACCAAGAAGTGAAAGAGAGAAAGGAAGGGCCAGGTTCAAGGGCACATCCCAAATGACCCTCAGAAGACCTCCTACTGGGCTCCACCTCTTACAGGTGTCACCACCTCCTAACAGCACCACCAGTGGGTGCCAAGCCTTTAACACACAGCACTTTGGGAGTCACCCATCCAGACCACAGCTTCCTGTACTGGGAAGACTTCTCATCCTGGGACTCTGCTTTACGTTTCTGCTGCATCAGGCCTGTGCTCTCCTCCCTCCCCTCTTCCAGGTGACAGAACCATCCTTGTTGTTTTAGATCCTTTCAGAAGGTGCTCACATGGGAACCTAGGGAGAGCAGAGTCTCCCCTACCCCCCGCCAAGGCAAGAGCTGTCAGAGGGAGAGGTTCACTTTGCAAATCGGCTGGGAAGGGAGATGCAGGACCTGGAGGCCCAGCATCTCCCCATTCTCTCTCCCAGTTCCATCTCCCTGGAAAATCATCCACAGCTACTTACATGGAGGAAGCATTTGTCTTTAACTTCTAACTGCTTCTTCTCTCTCTCTGAAAGTGAAACTGACTCATGCAGAATTTATAAAGTAGTTCAGGGACAGCCACTTTGGGGCCCTTTTAAAATAAGGTGACCTATATTGTATATAATTAAACCTGGAGTGGAGTTGCA